GTACATGTGCAATCAACCCGTTCAAACTGAGCCGGGGAACGGTGCGAAAAGAAATCGGCCTCGAGATATATATTGACCCTCTTCCTCGGGTAGGAAGTAATCTAACCCACAACATTTTGAGGCAGCCAGTCATGATATTTCCATGGGTCTGGCGCGCCTTGGACTCGACTGCGTCGAGTCGAATGAGGAACCGAAACCAGATTAGTTGGTGCTGGTATATGAGATTTTCAATATGTTTCCTCCGTATTAATCATCTGGAAGGTCAGTGGATCTCGAGGACCGTCAGGGAGGCAATGGCTTCAAAGGCGAGGTACAGGAGCGGCGAGCGCTCCCTCAACTCGGCGGGGTCGATGCCGTCAGGGATGTCCCTCGCGAGCCGCCGCAGTGCATCACGAATTTTGCTGGTCGCTGAACGCATGGGGATTGCGCAAGAGTGTAGCGGGGTATACCGAATGACGTGAATATCCATTGTGCCCTTGGCCCTCAGCGCAAGTCGGTTCAGCTCGATCTCCGCGGGATTCGCATCCCGCCGGTCATCGTGTGTCAGGTCCAACTTCAGCTGGCATTGCGCGAAGGACGGCCGGCCGAGGAGGTACTTCATGCGCGTCACCAGGGAGTAGTCCCCAGGGTCGGTTTTCATATACCCCAAGTTTGTAAAGAGTACGGCACGTCTGGCCACTAGATAGTCGTGGTGCACCAGAGCATGCAGAAACAATCGGTCGCGAGTGCTGAGATGCTCGTGTCTGGCTATTTCTGGCGTAAGAACGATCGATGGAAAAAAAAAACATAGGCTTACGAAGATAAACACGCAGTGATTTGCAGCCCTGCCGATGGCCGCCCGTGCGCCAGTCCTGAAGTTGACAGGTGGGTGAACAATAGTTCATCACTCGGCAACTCGTGCAGCGTTTGAACTTGGTTCTCTCCATAATTCGTGAGCACTAAGTGATATATACATTCGACCCAGCACGTCAGCGCGATGGGGGGTTTCGAGGAATGGAGAAAAGCCGACCTTCGCGTTATCGCACGCACTGCGGGAAACAGATGTTCCAGAGTCATATGTTTTCTTCACCGCAAGACGCTCTTTTGCCAATTCCACAAAATTCCCGTAATGTGTGGCGGTCTTAGCACCCAGGAACTGGGATGAGCATGACAGCTCCGCTGCGTCTTCCAGGACAGGCTCCAACACCGATAGCACAGAACGATAGACCGTCGCCGAGGGAAGGATGAACTCCCCGAGAGCATTCCACACCCATTCGTCTGTTGTGGTATGATCGAGGCGCGTTCTATGCAACACTATGGCACGTAGGAGCCCCGCCTTTAGCGCCTGACAAAAGACCAGCGGCTCGTACGATGACATGAATAGTCTGATGAGAATAGTGAAAGCCCTCGTGATGGCGGTGGTCTTGTGTGTGTTGTCGGGGTTGTTGGGGACGTCTACAAGCATACAGAGACAATCGACGATGGGCCGCACAATGCCATGAGCAATAAGGATGGCCGGCGCTACAGGACTGTTATCGCCGGAGATTGATTCCTCGATAAAATGGAGTCCTTCTGTGAGGAAACTCAAGGTGTTTTCCGACGGAATGAAGCCCGGGGCTGGGAGAGAGCATTCCACGTGTCGCTTGAGGAGGGCGGCGAGATCATCGATATGCCCACCAGCACCTTCGATGATCTCGTGAAAAAAGAGCTCCTCCGTGGGTTTGAGGTATATGATGAAGAGGTAGTAGATGGCGCCGCCTGCTTTTGCCCGTTGGCTGCAATCAACACCGAGAAGGTACGACCACGCCCTGGTGAGAAATGTGCGTATCCCATTAGTTGACCAAATGAGTTCGTCGGGCGTAGGATAACAGCGATGACCCATGAAGACGGCGAGGGATGTAAAGTGCCGATACATCGTGGTCCGATCGTAGTCGTCAGGAAGCGACGCCCCGGGAATAGAGTCCCAGAATGCATCAATGAATGAGATCCAATGCCAGACCCCGGGCCAAAGCTCTACGACGTAGTCGGCGACAGTCAATTCCATTTGTTGATGCATCCACGCTAGTGCCTCCAGCGACGACACCGCTCTGGCGACTGGGTCAAAGATGAGGCTGGAATCGAGGCTGCCGATATCGGGAACATCTTGAGGATCCAAGTTCACATAGAAACACGGCAAGAAGAATCGAAGCTCGACCAGACGTTCAGGATCTTCCATGAATCCGACCAGCTTAAAGTTAACATCCAACGATCCATCCACTGCTGCGATTGCGACTGCCTTTGGTATGCATGAGACAGGAGCTCCAGAGTACTGTAAAACCCACCCGAATGTTTTCCGGCAGTAGGTTCAAGCTTGCAGTTCTGAGATTCCAATCCATGGTGGTTACGTGCCAGGTGGGGCGGTCCGGATTGATCCGCCATCCAAACACGGACGCGACCAAACAGTACACCTTGCATCGCGTGAATTTTTTTCTTGTATTGCTGGAGAAACTTCATAGCTAAACTGGACAGTGGAGAGGGATTGGTGATTTATTCTCGATTATAATCTCTACATCTCAGTTTCGAATCATCTCCTCGAAAGCATCGATCGAGACCGGCACAGACGTGCATCGAGATTCGAAATCGCGTACCCAGCGTGGTTTTGGTTCTGGCAGAACCAGAACAAGTTCTCCTGCAACAACCCAATTTTTTTGTGGCCCATCAGTATACTATGTATTCCGTTGCATGCAGAGGTTTAATTTGCGGACCCTAACGATGACTGAGTTCAATTGATGGTTGACTGAGAACTCTTCAAATTTGTAGCGCCATCTCAAATTTCAACCTAGATTCGTTGCTCGACCGCGGAACCGTACACCACGCAGCTTGGCGGCACCTTCCTCTGTAAATTTACGAGTCCGACAGGTCAATTGAATGGAAGCATTGGACTGATGACAAATGCAAGAGATTGCGTTGAAGAAACGGTAAATATAAAGGCCAGCGATACTGATGTCCGGAGAACCTTGTACCTGTTGGCGAAAGGACAAATCTCACCGCGTGCTTTTTTGGAGTCTTGGAATTCGCTGGTGATATGTGGCTGATCTGGATGCCCTGAATGCGATCCCGGGCCCGTGAAGAACGATTGATTGAGTGCTCAGACGAAAAGGCGAAAATCGCTGTTGAACTGGGTCCGTGCCGATTTTTTCGACGTTGCTGATGAACACAGAAAAACCAGTAGACTTGGTGGCGGGAACGTGGGGCGACAATGGGGCGGTAAGTCTCGCGCCGCTAGCAATCCCTAAACGCAAGCAAACAAGCAAATCTAACGAACAAAACAGGGTGTGAGTTGAGAATAGCCATGATTATAACGGAGGACGCCATGCCGATCGTGAGGGGTCCATGATGTCGCGCATGCGTAAAAACGGCCATGACGAGCGGGCACAGAATAGGCAAATGATATAGGAGAGGACTGGGGATTTCTGCTGCGCACGATACGATCATTTCGTCACCGTGGGCGGGCAACATGAACCTGAGCACACAGAGAAAGGGCAGCAGAGATTTGCGGCTGAGTCAGAAGACAGTTGGTGTACCGTGTCGGAAGAGTTCTGAGGTGCTGGAGATGAACTAATAGTAAGTGTGAGTGTGAGGAATGACGCCACTACATGGTGGTGCGCACATACTATCCATATGGCCCCTCATGTCTTAACAAAGCGCGCTGTTTTGCGTCAACATTCCTCCAAATTTCGTGACTCAAAGAGGGCAGACCCTGCGACCCATGTTGTTGAGGGTACCGCCACGCGCCATGAAAGGGCGCAAAAAAAACCTCGTCCGACGGGAACCGTCCGTCGAGCGGGTGAGATGCTCGTTCGCACCGTTCCAGAGAACGTATTGATTACCTATCGTGACGAGGACCTGTGGATCCACGCCGAGGTCGCGCCATGCCAGCGGTTGTAAACCGCCCGATATCTTGAAGCAGTGTTTGAAGAGAAATTCCGCCTCGCTGAGGTTGAACCATCCTGGGCGAACGCAAAAGAGGCCGATGTCGTGCCATTTTTCCCAGTCCCACGAGCAAAAGACCAGGAGCAGGCGTTTCGGGAATACGGGGAAGTGGGCGGCGATGGAAGCTCCCGGTTGGGGACTGTCGAGATGTACAGAGCTCGACTTGAAAAAGGGAGCGGGTTAGGTGTGTGAGCGGCAACTGAGGGGCGAGAAGAATGCTAACAATCGCGGGCATTCGTACTAGTACTGCAGCCTGGGTATCCTTCCGGAATTTCGCTACAGAGCGATATCCGCTGTTGAGCGAATTAGTCTGGGAAACTTTGGGGAGCTTGAATAACACACAGGTCAAGAGTATGTGGTAGTCTGCGTGAAATCAGAAAGAGTACGGGAAGGAAGACTCCCCCAAAGGCGCTGCCAGCGAGAGTACATTGTGGAAAGAGAAAACCTCTGTAGTGAGGGATCGGACACCCTAGGTTTTACCGAATCCGCCTGCAATGAAACTGGATGGGCCGAAAGCACAGTCCCGATTGAGAGTCCGAGTTGGTGGTGGGAAGAAAGACGTTTGTCAAAATGAGTGATCCAGATCACGGAAGTTTTGCCCCTAGTTTTGCCCCTATCTCAATGTGCGTGAAGCTCGAAACCAGCTGGTGTTCCCCGCAGTACAACTGTAAACATCTGAGAGCTCTGGTCAAATCACCCAATATTTTAATTAAATCAGCCTGGATCTATCGGTAACTTCCAAGACACATGATTATTGGCGACACCGTCATAGGGAACCTTCAAACTGTCCTCGGTTCTTTTAATTCTGATTTTGAACCTCGCAAAATTTGTTTGTCAAGAAGCAGCTGTACACGGTGTGTGATATAAGCATATTCTTCCTTCGACTCGGATGCCTCTTGCACATCTATCACGAACCCTTTCACTTGGCTCTCGTTATTGCTAACCATTGCGTCCGAGGACTCGGAGAACAGCAAGTTGCGCCAACACACGTGGTTCTCAGCTTGCCGCGCTTCGAGAAAAAGAAAAGAAAAAAGCTCGATTGGAAAGCATGGCTGCGGTGGGAGTCGAACCGACAACTTTTCGACGAAACACCACGGGCCGGCCACTACTGTTACCGAAGGTGCAACCCATACACCACGCAACCTACATGATTACTGGTTAACTCGCCACCCAGTCTGTGGGCATAATGTGCCCTTCGCACCGTGGTGACATGAAACGGGCGCCCAGGAGCCTACGCGACGAAAGACAAGAAATATTTTGTCTTGAAGCTCCACAAATCCATCTACTAGTACAGTCTCCGGCAGGGCGCGAAGAACTGGTACGACTTCCTTTGCGAAGCCCTGGCCGACCTGCACTTCAAACGTCCGATCACGGTGTATTCCTTCGAGGAGGAAGAAAACCACATCCTCATACTTGTGATTCATGTCGACGACTGCATGATTTTGGGAAGTTCCCTCATGCAAATCCAGAAATTCAAGGTCGAAATGAACGCGAAGTACAAGCTCACTGACCTTGGTCCAATTAATTGGCTCCTTGGAATCAAGATCACTCGGGACCACACCGAGCGCAATTGCTTTGTCGCAGCACGCCTATATCGAGGCAATCCTCACACGGTTCAACTTCAATGATATGAAGCCAAGTGCAATGCCTCTTGACCCACTGCGGGAAGTAAAAGAACCTAGTCTGAGTACCCCAAAAGCACTCGGACGTAGTACCCGACCCACTTATATGTAGTACTTCAAGGTACTGCGATGTAGTGCTTTTTGGCAGAATACACACCTATTTGTAGTACCCCGGGTACTACTTTTGAGGACTTTTCTACAATACATCTGAGTGCTTTAGGGTACTACATCTTAGTGCCAGGGTACTACAATACAGTTCTTTTGCCAGTGCCCATGTAGATTGCAATAAAATTGGTATATTTCATGACTACGCCACATAGTACAGGGAGCTACATATATCGAACATCCGACCACGACCGAGAAGTGTGTTCAACAGACTCACCAGACAACCAGACGACGACCAGTGGCGACCGAAAAAACAAACAAATCAGAGAATGGTCGCTCGAGTGAAAAACATGACTTCGGAAGCGTGTTGAGTCATCTGGCAGTCATCGTAAAGAAGCAGGGTAAATAATGACACTCACCGCTTCGTAACCGGGGAAACGAAAGGCAACGCTCACTGGCCGTCGTAGCTGTCTGGAAGCCGATTTTCGCACACTGCAGGTGAAGAAGACGCTCGAACATGGTTGAAAAAAAGGACTCGCTTTTCAAACCGCGGTTATCCTTGACGGTATTCAGTTTCACGCAGCTTTGCCTTGGTAAAAAAAGAGGGCGAGGGAAAACACAGAAGAAGCTTGTGGTACTGAGGGGTGTGGCCCGCGCGCGCTCAGACGAGGGAGGTTAGTTAGAACCGAAGAGAAAACAACGAGGGTTATCTGTATTTGAACACCGAAAAAAGATCTGAGAAAAAACCTTGATGTTGACACGCACGGATATTGCAACGAATATGTATCGACGTCGAGACCATGTTGAGGTGGGACGGGGTGTCAGCGCTAGTGGAGATCAAAGTTTGGCAGAGGGATAAACATAAGAGAGAAGTAACGTACCAGAAATTTGCGGAATAACAAAGAGGTCCAACGGTGCCCTAGTATGTAAAGTATGAGCAATCAACATTGCGTAACGCGAAGGGTGAAATCAAAGTAAGTAAGGATTCAATCGAAACCGCAAACGTGGTGTATGTGCGTCGACTGTTCGAAACATGTCGTGCAAGTGGATGAACGAATAACGAATAACGGCTGCGGCGGGGGCGCGCACGATGCGTTCCATAAAAGGGGGGATAAAAGGGGGGCAAGAGAGCGAGGATGGGGCGCGCGCATCGGTGAGCGCCGGGAGGGTGGAAGAGTGTTCGTGTAGGGGAGGGACAAACAGAGGGAAAGGATATAGAATGACAACTCACCTGTAACGATCGGCGCCGAGCAGCTGCTCCGCGGCTTGGGATTCGTGATTCCGTCTTGGAATCATTGCAAATGAGCTGAACAAGACATCAGGGACTGCGAGGGATGGACAGGAAGAGGGAATGACGGGGTAAAGGACGGCAGCGATGGAGGAAGTGGATGTGTATGTGGAGCGAAGCGTAGATGCAGTACTGGATAGACGCACCTTGCGTGACAGTTGACAATTCCTCGTCCAGTGGCCGTTCTCCCTTGTTAGGTTGTGGTCGCGTTTCGGGCACAATGAGTGATGATGATATGGAGAGAGGTATATTGAGAAAAAGGAAAGGAACGAAGCAAGGCAGAGAGGGAAGACAAACAGTGGGATGAATGGAGGAGAGGAGGGGGTGCATATGGGAAGGGACGCATGAATGTGAGGGCCAAGATCGGGGAGGGGTGATGGGCAATATTGTCGAGCGACCAGACGCACCGAGACTTTGCCCATTGCCTCTGTGCACTGTGCCGGTGTTTGAAGGACAATGGATCTGGGAGGCGACTATTCATCACGTTGGATCTGGTATGCGGACCGTATCAGCGCAAGACCTCTTAGGGATAGGTAACACCGTAACGGCGCACCTCCGGTAAATCTGTGGCTTCTGCGCTCTCCGGGGCGGGTCCAGTCGAAGAATAGAGAATATAGAGGTGAAGATAAACTCCCCTAGGAAAGACTTTCAGTATATTGTACGCCCTGAGGAAACCAATGCCGACTTACGCGTCGATATTGGTGAATGTCGTGTTTGACCGTAGTAGCGGCATCGGTTGGACGAAATCACTTGTAACACGAGCAGGCGGTGCAGAGGGGGCCTAGGAACCTTCCTGGGACGTTCCGGTGTCTTGAGGCGGCTGCGATGGTGGGCGATGGGAGAGACGATGGAGGGAGAGGACAAGATCGATGCGATCACGTGCGCATCGTCAACAAGAACAAACAACATCCGAATGGCGTTCTCGGGGAGCACAAACCGTGACAAATGCCATAGGATGAGCCTCAATGCAGATAAGAGGCACTTGCGTACCTAGAGGTGTAACATTGCCTACCTAAGGACTACTTTTATGGTTGCAACGATGGAATTTGTAGTTTAATTCAGGTTTCGTCACTCAATGCAACAATGAATGCAGCAAGTAGGGAGCACAATTGGGAGAAGCAAACTATACAGTGTGTGAGGGATACAGAGTAGCTCTCGACATGTATACAACGATTCAGGAGATTCAACTGATACACACTTCAGGCGAGCTTTTTCTAGAGGAAAATAGTAGCCGCTGGGCCCAGGACTTTCCTTCGTTGAAAAAAGGATTCCATGGTTTTGGGACACAATGTTGCATGAGCGCGAATATCAAGACATGGTCGATGTGCTCTGGCAGACGAGAAACTGATGAACGAAGTAATGTAAGCACGGGGGGTCGGTTTGAGTGCATTTAAAAGGGCTGTTGAACTCATTGCGCGTGGTACGACGACGGCCGGCTGTGCAATTCGGAGGTTGGAGATCGAAAACAGACAGCAATGCGAATGCATACCAATGCAATTCGTTTTGAGAACGTACCCAGAACGTAACAGGTCAAGCGCTGAGTCGGCCAGTAACAACAGCAAGCGTGTCCCGCAGTCGAATGTTGCAGAAAGAGTTGAACTTGACCTTGAATGCCGTGCGCGCACGTGGAAAAGGTCGAGATTGGATATCCAGGACTGGCACGCAAGTGAAATCAGAACAAGCAATGGGCTCAAACAGATCGGAAGACAAAGCATATTGTTCTGTTAGGTCTTGACGTTGCGTGCAGAAAGGCCACAAATCGATTCAACCCGGAGAGTGCGATATGTCTGCAGCAAAGCGCAGACAAAAATCTCACGTCCAGTTCAACTACTGAACATGAAATTTGGGCGAATTCGGTGTCTGAGCGCACAGCTCGAAGCGCTGTGTCCTCCGAAGACCAGAAAAAAGAGCCTATATATGGTGCACAACAAAATCGTAAGGTCCAATTCATCTTGTCATTGAATACGCAATTTATTTGAAGCCCCATGTTCGAACGTGAAGGGCGGTTATCATGTATCGCTTCAAGCCTTAATCTGAGGTTGCTGACAGAAATTCACTTCACAGAAATTAGAGATCTAAATCAAAACAAACCTGTAAGAGCCCGCATTGGACTAAACATTTGATAGCGCAGCACTTCGCCCTCCGGGAGACCGGTAAGAATCGATTCATCACAGCTGTCTTGAGGACACAGATCAGAAATAGGAACAGATGCACTGCGAACTAAGGAATACACATACATGTATAGAACAGCGAGCCCCTTGAGAACCCGCGCCGAATTAAGGACCGAAGGACATCGTTCGGATTACTTGAGAGACAGACTGCTTTTTTTCGAAAAGAGGCAATCCAAGTCCTCAGTTGTACGTGCCAGTGAACCTTGAATGTGGTATGTAGTGCTGCGCAGCCTCAGTAAGAGCGCGTAGAGCCCATCAGGTGTCTGGCTTGATTGCATCAAGTTACATGTCAGGACTCTATTTCTCAGTCGCAAGGGTAGGTCTTGACAGCGGATAGAACAGATTCACAAGAGCCGCAGGGCGGGCAAAAAAGTGTGCATCGGCGGCCCCGCGTCGGATTTGACGCGTACTCGATCGGAAATGGAAGAACCGACAGGTACTTTTAACAGGATGAACTCATGATATGAGCCGCCGCCGCTGCCGTCTACCATGAGGAGGAAGATCCGGACCCGGATTCGGATGGCAAGATCGTTGGTGTAATGACCACGTCCTGTACTTCTCTTAGTAGCTCCCCGCAGGATGGTTTGCAATGACAGTAGCGTGGTTTTCAGTCGAATCTTCCGGCTTTTTGTCGGCCAGGCGTCATCGCGAGAGGTGGGCATCACAGCACGTATGGCATTCTTGGTCCACAGAACTTTTGGAGTGTCAGGGAACATAGGATCGCCACCGAATTTGACGGAAGACGCTGCCAGGAGAGCTACATGTCTCCAGCACACAGATGAGTCGGATGGATTTTGTTATGGAGGCCAGAGAGTCCCGGAGCAGTACAAAGTGATCAATTGCAAGCGAGATGGAATGGGATCAGGAACGGACGGGCTGGGCCGCTGGATGGACTTTGGTGTCGGTATGCACGAGTGTAAGGGAGGAGTCGCGTCCGGGTGATGCCAAGACGTGATTA